GCTGCTGGCTTCGCACCAAGAAGCAGCTGGCCGAGCTCAAGTCCGTCATCGAGCAGATGAACAGCAGACACGACGACCAGGACTCGGCCACTCCTCCACCTCCATCAGCTCGCCCTCCGACCCCTTCCCCGAGCAGCAGTCCGGCGGCGGCAACAACAGCAGCATCAGCCGTCTCTTCGAGGCCATGAACCTCTCGCCCGTCACCCCCGGCTCGGACGACATACCGCCCGCTCCGCCCACGAGCTTCACCCACCTCATCAAGCCCGTCTGCAGGACCGACATCCTCGCCTACGAGGACTTCAACACCCTCCTCCAGCTCTCTCGCTCGAAACCGCCCAGCCGCGTGGGCAGCGGCTCCTACAGCGGCCTCAATGTCATGAACCTCGCCAACCTCGCCTCTGCTCGCCCAAAGTCCACCACCCACACTCCCTCAAACTCCCAGGACACCAAGAACGGCAACAACAACAGCAGCAACAGCCCGGCAAGGACCACCTCTTCTGCCTCCTCCCCTTCTCCATCGTCCCACGGCGGCATCTCCTCCTCGCCCCGGGAGAACATCACCTCCTCCATGCAGCTCAAGGAGACACGCTTCTACAAACGCATCCTCGCAGAGGACATCGAGCCCACCCTCCGTCTCGACATGGCTCCCGGCATATCGTGGCTCACCCGCCGCTCCGTCATGAGCAGCCTCGTCGACGGCGAGCTCATCATCGAACCCATACCCGCCGCCCCTGCCGGCTCGAGCTCAGACCTCCCGTCTCCTCCCTCCACCCCGTCCAGCATGTCCAGCACCACCGTCCCCTGTGCCCTCTGCGGCGACCGCCGCCTCTCGGTCAACCCGCGCACCCACCGTTTCCGCACGTCGAGCTCGGACTCGGCTCCTCGCCACCCGCTCTGCGCCCTCTGCCTGGAGAAGATGCGCTCCTGCTGTGAGTTCGTCGGCTATCTCCGCCTGGTGGTCGACGGCCATGTCAGGACCGGCGGAGGCGGAGAGGCAGAGATCAGGGAGAGGGAGAGAGAGGCCTGGGAGGAGACCGTCCGCCTGAGAGAGAGGATCTTCTGGGCCCGTATCGGCGGAGGAGTCGTCCCGGCTTTTGTAGCAGGCAGCAAAGAAGGATGTCGACCAGGCTCAGCCTGACGGTGCGGAGGCTATCGTCATCAAGGACGTCACTCCGGTGGATGTTACCCTGTCCTCCTCCATGCCAACGCCTACTCCAACCCCAGCCCCTTCACAGCCACCAACACTACCAAAGCTGCCAACAGACACTCCAACTACGCTGCCACCAACGCTAACAGACACGCCAACCACGCCTGCAACCCCGGCCACTCCAGCAGCACCAGCTACCCCAGACATTCCACCGATGCCGGCCACGCCAGCAATGCTGTCAACGACATCCAACCCGCGCAGCCTTTCTCCTTCTCCCTCTCGGTACCGGGCCCGCTCCCCGTCTCCCTCGCCAGCCCCAACTCCAACTCCAACCCTCACCCCCAAAACCACCGCGGCGAGATCTCCCTCTCCCGCCCCATCCACCTCCACCTCCTCTCCAGGTGCTCCGCC